TATGATCATGATTCATAGCTTCACCAATAGCAGTTCGACCAGACTAAAGAAATGTTGGAAAAAGTTACTGTGTGATTTTGTGGCTTTAAAACATGAGATAAGAAAAGTATTCTTTCAAAACAAATTAATAACAGGAGTCAGTGAAAAAATGGCTGAAATACAGTACTACATAACTCTTATTTTGTGATATGTATACATGTATGTTCATAAAATGACTCATACTTACCTTATCTACAGTGTCAGGATCAGCTCCTTTAGAGAGCAATAAAAACAGAATATCATGATGTCCTTTACTTGCTGCCATAATGAGTGGTTCATTCTATATAATAAAATAGTTTGAACTTTGAATGTACATGCATACTTAAATATACTTCATTATTAAAAATGCTTCAATATTTCTCAATTCATTTGATTTATGCTATATATATATATATGTACTGTTATCCAATATCATACATAAGCTACATGTACCAATTAATATTACATACATGTACAGTCAAAAAACTTTGCTACTAAGCAATTAGTACATAAAATTAGTGTAAAATAAAACATAAAAATTCTAGCTAAAAATAATGTGAATGTAGATCAATAAACCATTTGAATATGCAACTGACCACACCATTATTAATTACATGTACACATACTCACTAAGTTTGGATCAGCTTTATTAGTTAATAGTAGGAGCACAATGTCATAATGTCCTTCTTTTACTGCTGCAGTAAGAGCTGTATCTCCATCCTATTAAGACAAAAATAGTAATTGGTTCCATCATAAAGAAAACAAAATACATTTTTCTATGTTAAGTTATATCTTTTTGTGATCAAATGGAAGGCTGTGTTGTAAGTATCCTTAAAATTTGTGGGTTTTAGATTCATTACTATAAAACTCTTACTATCAAGATTATTAAATACAATAATTTTTGGATTAGAAAATTAAAGGAGCACGGACACGGAAGCGCATGCATGCTATGGCTTCACGTGCGCAAGCAAGAATACGGACCAACAAAGGGTGTGGCATTGCGAGCCATGTGATACAATGGATTCTGGATCTTCACTTGTAAGTGCCTCCACAGTGACTCCTTTTCATACATACACTTTATGAAGGATTTCTAGCATTATAATGCTTAGTACCAAGTCTCCAGTCCAGCATTAATTCTTAGTAGGTGAGCTTTCACGGTCGCCATTTTGTCACTCTCACGTGAGCTGAAACACTACGTCATCTTGATTATTTGTTCTAAAAATCAAGATGACGTCTTCCGTGTCTGTGCTCCTTTAATACTCTAGAAAAGAAGAGAGCCAGTGTACTGTACAGTGTACACTATAATATGGGTCATGCTATGAATAATGTGATTTGCTACTTCAAAAGAAAATGTAACATGCATACTTAGGTTTAACCTGATATACACCCATTTACGTACTATAATCTATATACATACATGTATGTGCCCTTAGAGTCAGTGAATAGCTGTACTACACTTAATAGTGATGTACATGTAAACCATTAATGTGACACTTCATTTTACACAATGGGCCAAAAAAGTAAAGATTATGATGCATCAATCCCCCAAAGTACAACAAAATGTTTAATTTTGAACAGGATAAAGTTAAGAGGAATATAAGACTGACTTACAGAGATACTATTTAAAGACTTCCCCAGCTGTATTGAGAAGCATGTACATGTAGCCAGCAGTATTTTTATACATGCAAAAATTTTTGACTAGTTGATATAACAATCAACTAAAATTTTATTAGTAAGAGAGCTATAGGCCAAATATTTTTGGCTTATAATGTGAATATTTGAATACAATAATGCATCTTACGGATAGAAGATTGATTGACAAACTTATAATAATTACTGACATATAATGCACCGTAGATCAGGAAATTTTCGTTGTTAGAATATTTTGGTGGTTGAAGTGACCCACAAAATACTTATAAAAGCATATAATGAGATTACCAGAATTATTCTAACGTGCACCAGTGCACACACAAGGCTCTAGCTTCTAAAAGCCCAAGGAAGTCCTAAAACTTTCACTCAATGCTGTACGTCCTTCAATGCTGTTAATTCAGTGCTGTCATGAGCAACTTCCTGTCCATCTTATCAAGAGTAAATAGCCATGTCTCCAGTTTATGATGCATCCAAAATTTTTTGTGTTAAAAAATTTCATGGATTGGTCAACCAACAAAAATAACAAAACTTTAAAAAAATTACAGCAATTATTTTTAACATAAAAATTTCCTAATCTCTATAGCAGCACATGTACATGTACAATTGAACATACATGCATAAACTAAAGCATTAATTTTCATTTTAATATAAAAGGGACACTAAACAAGTAATATAACATTATATTATGGTTTACATGTCTGAAACAAATACAATGATGCAATTATAAATAATTAAATTGTCAATACTTATACTATATAACAGGAAATTCTGGAGGGAGTTAAACTTGGCAAATTACTAAATTTTGGTGATTGGCGAAATTTAATCTGGCAAATTTGTGGCCATGTGCCATTGAGCATGCACATAATGGCTCAAAATGGCAGATTTTTGTTTTGGCAAATGGCTATCAAAATGCCAAACTCACCAAATTTAATATCCTCCAAAGTTTCCTGCTATACAACACTCACTTTAT